TCAATTAGCAAGAAATCTTTTAAAATTAAGTCCTTTCTAAAATTTTCTTATATGTTTAAAGATTTTTTCATTATTGTTAATGTAAAAAAACTAATTTTGTACCAAGAGAGCCTTAGAAAACTTACCTGGCCTTATTTAATTTAGCCTAATCCAACTAAATACATTTTAGATAAGGTTACAATAATTTATTAATAAACAAACACAATGAAATATATTTTTTTCGTTAGGTTCAGAATGATTTTTGCGAAATTGTTGCTTACACAAATTTTCGCTTGCCTTATTCAGCAAGAAGAGCTTTGCTATTTAAGCCAAAATCGCAAGTTATACCTATTCTGCACGACTTATACATGTATGTAAATATTGACTGTTTAAGTGGCCACTAATGAGGACAGGAGTACACAGGTTGAAGATAGATAAGTCACAGAGAGTCCAATAAGTAGAATAACATGGACGAGGTAGTGAAGTCAGCCTTCATAAATAGTTCTTCAAATAGGCATAAGATGACCCTCAGGGTTAGGTAGAAGAAAATCTAACGAGTAGCAAATTAAGAGGAGGGCCAGGAGCTAACATTAAACTCCTGAAACCATAAATACACAGACACACACACACACTGACGAGCGGGGTCCCACAGGGGTCGGTCCTAGGACCAGTGCTATTTTTGGTATATGTGAACGACATGATGGAAGGGTTAGACTCAGAAGTGTCCCTGTTTGCAGATGATGTAAAGTTAATGAGGAGAATTAAATCAGAGGAGGCCCAGGTAGGACTTCAAAGAGACCTGGACAGACTGGACACCTGGTCCAGCAAATGGCTTCTCGAATTTAATTCCGCCAAATGCAAAGTCATGAAGATAGGGGAAGGGCACAGAAGACCACAGACAGAGTATAGGCTAGGTGGCCAAAGACTGCAAACCTCACTCAAGGAGAAAGATCTTGGGGTGAGTATAACACCGAGCATGTCTCCGGAAGCACACATCAATCAGATAACTGCTGCAGCATATGGGCGCCTGGCAAACCTGAGAACAGCATTCCGATACCTTAGTAAGGAATCGTTCAAGACACTGTACACCGTGTATGTCAGGCCCATACTGGAGTATGCAGCACCTGTTTGGAACCCGCACTTGATAAAGCACGTCAAGAAACTAGAGAAAGTACAAAGGTTTGCAACACGGTTAGTTCCAGAGCTATGGGGAATGTCCTATGAAGAAAGATTAAGGGAAATCGGCCTGACGACACTGGAGGACAGGAGGGTCAGGGGAGACATGATAACGACATATAAAATACTGCGTGGAATAGACAAGGTGGACAAAGACAGGATGTTCCAGGGAGGGGACACAGAAACAAGAGGCCACAATTGGAAGTTGAAGACATAAATGAGTCAGAGAGATATTAGGAAGTATTTCTTCAGTCATAGAGTTGTCAGGCAGTGGAATAGCCTAGAAAATGACGTAGTGGAGGCAGGAACCATACACAGTTTTAAGACGAGGTTTGATAAAGCCCATGGAGCGGGGAGAGAGAGGGCCCAGTAGCAACCGGTGAAGAGGCGGGGCCAGGAGCTAAGACTCGACACCTGCAACCACAAATAGGTGAGTACAAATAGGTGAGTACACACACACACACACATACACATGCTCTCACAGGTGCGCAGGTATTGTGCGCTGGTGTTTAGCCAATATATATTGCAGGCAGGGAGTCTGAAGTAGCAGTTAGTCCATCACTCGAGAATCCAACTATCAGGTCTTGTCCAGTACTCAACATCTACCATTCCTGGACGGCAGCTGTGTGCAGTGCAGCCACTACTCTGTAAGATATTGCAATATCCACTGATTCAGACTTCCCATTCCATACTTCTCCACCTGATAACACTCTGCATGTTCAATTTAAGAACTTGCACACTTTGACTTCATGTTACATTTTGTCATTTTCTTAATCAGAGAAGAGTTGTACACACACACACACACACACACACACACACACACACACACACACACACACATATATATATATTTTTTATTTTTTTTTATTATCACACAGGCCGATTCCCACCAAGGCAGGGTGGCCCGAAAAAGAAAAACTTTCACATCATTCACTCCATCACTGTCTTGCCCGAAGGGTGCTTTACACTACAGTTTTTAAACTGCAAATTAACACCCTATATATTATATTATATATATATATATATATATATATATATTTATGATATAATATATATATATATATATATATATATATATATTATATATATTATAGTGTATAAATAACAAAAAGGCACAATACCGTGACTGGAACGATACACAAATAACCCGCACATAAAAGAGAGAAGCTTACGACGACGTTTCGGTCCGACTTGGACCAATGACAAAGTCTTTTATGTGCGGGTTATTTGTATATATATAGTGTGTGTGTTTTATATGTATCAGATGGCATAATATGAACACTAACTAGAACTTTGACTTCCAGTTGATAGCGTTTGAGTTTCTCCATAAACACTCTTGATCGGGGCCCCAGTTACAGTAGTACCCATCACAAACTTCTCCTGTATTGCTGCTAGCGACACTTTAAATTCTCTGTGGTAGTGGCTTAAGTGACTGGCAGATGACCTGAGATCCGCAAGATCACAGGTTCAAATACTTTATTTTAGAAGATTACTTTCATTGGATTATTAACCCGGCATAAACAGAATAATGTATAATGACACTTAACAATCGGCTAAACGAGTAAGGTTAGTGCAACACTCCAGGTTATTGTATCCATTCCTTTAAAACTAATTATGTAACGGTTGACTGCTGAAGAGGTATTTCAATCAGATTTATGCAAAACGGATAAACTGTTATATATGGAGGTGATGGTGGTCGGTTTTGTATCACGCGTCGCCCGTAGATCTCTAGCAAGACATGTTGAAAAATATTGAACGAAATTTATTATTCTGTGTCCGATGTTTAATTTTGAGAATGGATTAAGTTATTAATTTTGATTATAGTACAGATAACACAAATATGTAATTCTTGAACTATCTTTTCGTTATGAAGTTGTCGTAAAATGAGTCTCTAAAACACTTTTTTCTGTCTGTAGCCTTTGACATTGATTCGTGATCTCGCAAGTGTCATTACCCATATTGTAACATCGTACAACTGTTCCTCAACACAGTGTTCATTTATCTTATTTATGCACCATGTGTATTACTTAGGTTTAAGAACTACTCGCTGAAATAACCACTTATTGCGATATTTCAAATCTTACTCACAAACTGGATATGAAACGTGTATGACATTTCAGTCTGTCTTGAACCATTCATAACTCGCGACATGATAATGGCACAACATGGACCGGAGCGTCGTCTTTCATATCCAGTTTGTGGGTAAGTTGTGAATTATTCGAACCATTGTGTTGTGACTTTTACTCTTGGTAACAACATCATAATTAATATTCCACGCCACTCGGCTCGACAGTCAGCGAAGAGAATGTAGAACAAGATTTGTAATCATTTCAGTAATACAACAAACAGCATTTATTGAAATCTCGAGTTTTGTAGTTTGAGCAATATGAATTTAATTTTGCCCAGAATTATGGAGAGACAGCGGCTAATAAGGTCTACTGACTTAATGGACCGTGCCAGGTTCGTCAGGATGTGGGTGAGTGGGAAAACAACACGAGCCATCGCACGAGAAACAGGCAGCAGCATCACAACAGTGAGCAGGTGGATACGCAGGTGGAAGTCAGAAGGCAACGTGAATGCAAGACCTCGCAGTGGCAGACCCAGGAATAGCAAATTACGAAAAATTAAAGACCTTAACAAACTAATTACTTCTGGGAAAAGTCCTGATGTGTATTCACTGACATCACCGGAGACAAACTCTCCTCTGGTTTCTTACTGTGATTCGATGTCATTTTCTAACTATTCTACTCCTTTAGGCTTGATTTTCAACCAATATTCAACTCTACAAGAAATTTTACACAAATATTATTTAGGAAGTATTTATATAATGGATGCAGAACAGAATTTTACTTATGATTGTTTTGAATATTAATGTTTCTGTCTCTCAAAATTTACCTGACATCCATTACGACTGAGTGCAATACAAAATTGTGAAGCTAAAATTAAAAAAATGAATAGCCGAGGGATTTATATTAAAGCCGCTCATAATCCTGTACAAAGTGGCTCTGAAAGTAGTGACCAGCACTGTTGTCTTGGTAACTAAGAAATTACACTGCCCGATCTAAGCTTAATGAATACAACTAAACCTTCCATTTCCTAACCTGTCTGAAATAAAACGTCTAGATACGTTCGAAAGCCTGACAGTGTTGAATTCAGCGTAAGGCCAGAGACTCTTGATACCCTCCTCACACAACGGAGACTGTGGTGTCTGTCGATCTTCCAATGGCTCCGTTAAGAGTATCCCTACAATGTATGAGATTTTCTGTTATACTGCACTCATTGTATAAACTTAAAATATTTCAGCAAATTTTAATATTTTTGTCAAATCGGCATCATATTCTGCCTCTTTGTAATTCAGAAAATGAAAATAATAAACGTTTAAGCATTATGTCGTCTGTTCATACTTCTCACCTTACCAGATAGTAAGATTTTTCTGTTTTATGAAACAATGGTAATTATATACAATTACGAAGTTCTGAGACTTAATGGACAGTAATTCTGAGATTAGGGTATGTAGCCACAACGTCTGTCATGTATCACCACGACACAACTCGTCCCTGCTACTCCAACACTCCGTCTCTCTTTGATCATTTCTGGAAATCATATTGCTGGAATCGTACTTGTTATATCCAGAATCCAAGTCTTTCTAAGCTGATTTTTTTTTAATTCCCGCAAAGATGTTTTATTCTTATATATAGTTTTTTATAATTTAGTTAATATGTAAAAAAATGTAATTGTTGCATAAAATCGGCTAGCATTTACAAAGGGTTTTTAGTCAAGAGAATCTTAAATATAACCACAGCAAGTAATAGGAAAAACAGTGATATAATTTTTCTCTTCTATATTTCCAGTTTGGAGTTGGATGGGAGATGACGCAGCCATTGACATCTCTCTTCTTATTCTTATTTCTCTCTGTCTTAATGACTTTCGCAAGTTTGCTTTCCCCTATTAGTGAGTAAAAAAATTGTAATATTTTTCTTTGACACTAAACTCTATGTAACGAATGAACTATAAAGTTAGAGTTAGTTATCACAGTCGCTGCTTGCAGATCAATCACTGGAAGATTACATAGAGTAGAGAATGAAGTGATATGCCATAGAATGATGCGAAAAAGAATGAATCTGAAAATAAATTAGTGAAAAAAGATGTAAGTATGTATTATTTAATTCTTATGTGATAAACACATATGCGTTATTCAGTACAAGACGCGGTAGAGGCTTGAACCTCCGTCTGCTGAACGTGAGCGCAAGACAAACGCGCTTCCTATTTGTACTCACCTATATTGAAGTGGGGAGTCGAACAAGGTATGTAAGACTGGTCAGACTGTAAGAAGTATGAAAGTTAATGTATTTAGATACTTTGGTGTGGAAGAATAGGCAGATGGATCTATTAGAGATGAGGAGTATCAAAAAAAATATACAAATAGATAAAATTACAGGAGTGACAGAGTCTACGGAAGGAAAAAGTTATTGACTGATTGCAGCGCAAGGAATGGTGAAGGTTTGATCCTCTGTGTTCCACCGTCAACCACCAGGATGAGGGAAGAATCAATATCGGTACAGAAATTTTGGTCATGGAGAGAGAGAGTGAAGCACGTTAAATGGATAAAAGGAAGTGTAGGGGACGTCCGAGAAAGGTTTGGAAGGAAGTCGTGAAGGAGATTTTCAGAGAAAGGATTGTACATCCAGCAGGGATCTGAGAGTAGGAGTGAAATAAATGGAATTTGGATTTTGACATCCTGTTAATATGATAATCGTAACATAAGTGAAGGTATTCATGGAAAGCTGCTAGCAGTAGTTGAGCTTTCCAAGTGGGGTGGCGAGTGTTGCGGCTAATATTGTCATTAATAAATTATACTCGTGCCCTTTTATAAGCATAACTAGAAAGTGAACATTTGTGCACGGTTCGTGTTTTTCTGATGCCTATAACTGTACATTTTAAACAGACCAGCGCCAGACTCTGAGGTTAGCTAACGATGCCGTAGAGGCTGTCATGTCAGAGGCAATTCAGAGTGGCTCCTCAGTCCTGCTCTTCACAGATGGTAACATCTCAGCTTCTGATGTCTTCAGGGTATGAGATACCTCTCATAAAAAAAATTCCATATGGCCTCATATGCTACAATAAGATTCTTTGACATAAAGGGTTGTGACCATTTTATTCAAACTTAGCAGCAAATTGAAAACTCTTTTGCTGTTATTTAAATTACTGATTCATAGAAGTATATTGAAAAAATTTGCTGCTACATTTATTTGCAGAAAGTGAGTGAGAGAGGAAGGAAAGAGATTATTTTATGAACGTTGCATCGTAATTTATTTATTTATTTTTGAAAAGGTGAAGGAGCAGCTGTGGTCTTCGTGGGGAGTGGCAGTGTTCGACGTGACAGGGAACGACCACAACGCTAACGTGACGCAGGCGAAGATCTGCGAGGTGGTCGAGCAAGCACGTCAGGTACGTCACTCTCATGTTACTGCTGAGGTGGGAACATGGCTTTCAAGACCATAATAACGTGACTGGAATAATACACAAATACCCTGCACATAGGAGAAATAAACTTACTGTGTAAATGGTCCAACTTGGATCGAAAAGTAGTCGTAAGCTTGTGTCTGATATTTGAGGGTTATTGGTGTATAGGTTTCAAATTACTTCTGAACCGGTTACGTCCTTTTCCTCTTAACGTTAACAGCTGCGACAGGTGTCATGGCTCTTGACAGTGATAGTTGTCAGTGACGACGCAGCCTTCCTCGCCGCCTTTGCTGAGTGTTCCCTCAAGGGCCGCCTCCTGGTGTGGTCGACGAGGCTCCTCGCCCTCACTCGCCTGCCCCTCCTACAGCTGCACCAACTCCACACGCTGCTGTCCACTAGGAACGCTCTATTACTCATTGTGAATGAGTACTCGGGAACATTAAGGTATCTGTGATCGAGACAAGTAAATAATTACATGTATATTATATTATGTATTCGGTTTCTTATATGAATATATAACTAAACAGTTTATATAATTAGATATTCCCCAGCGTCTTATGAGTCTTCCTTCACACAATGTTGTTGCATTAAATTAATCAACTGTACGGCTTTAGAAGTCTTTTCTTCCCTAGGTGCAACGTATACATATTCTTGACACACACGACCCTTTTCTTACCTAGGTGCAACAAGTACCTGTTGCCATATACGGCCCTTTTCTTCCCTAGGTGCAACATGTACATATTCTTACCATATACGGCCCAGGATAGCCAGCCACTACGGGTTGCCTGGTGGACTCCACATCACGGCCTTACTCTTACCTTAAATCTTCCGCTCTTCCCTGACAAGTTCTTCAAGTGTGTCAGATATATTACCAAGTATCATATCAATCATTAAAGCAGCAATGTACTTAGACATTATTATGGAGGAAACTTTGATGCGATACAAATTCATTGAGAGAGCTTTTGGTATATACGCAACTAATCACATGAGATTATCTATATGACTGTTTTGCCTAAATATTTCTTTTAATATTTTTAAGACTAAAAATAAGGCTCCTGAAATATATTTACTATATTCAGACCAAATGAAAGCGAAATTCATCTGCATTAGTTTGTTTAAAACTATCTGTGGTGTGTCAGGTTTTTACAGTCTCCAAGGCTCGTAGTTGCAGTGGTTCCCATGGAAGTTCACAATGCTCTGTTGACCGTAGATCCCACAGCTCCTGAAGGCCAGAGAATCACCTACATTGGACACATAGACAAGACGGTGAAATACCTTGGAAGTGGCCTTAATTTTACGTAAGTTGAAAAAAAATGTAATTTTTTTCATGAAATGTAGCCATTGACTTTTTTCTTAAATTTTGCTTGAGTAAATGAGTTGACCTCTAATCTACTTGAAAACTACCGGTATACAATTAGTCTGAGGAGCACACGGCATGGCCCAAATTCAAAGATTTTACAAAATGCATAATGCATTCCCCGACCCAGGTACCGTAACTCTCCCAGTAACAAGGAGCACCTTGGTGACTGTTACTACCCAAGGTATTGTAACTCTTCCAGTAGCAAGGAGCACCTTGGTGACTGTTATTACCCAAGGTATTGTAACTCTTCCAGAAGCAAGGAGCACCTTGGTGACTGTTACTACCCAAGGTATTGTAACTCTTCCAGTAGCAAGGAGCACCTTGGTGACTGTTATTACCCAAGGTATTGTAACTCTTCCAGAAGCAAGGAGCACCTTGGTGACTGTGTTACTACCCAAGGTATTGTAACTCTTCCAGTAGCAAGGAGCACCTTGGTGACTGTTATTACCCAAGGTATTGTAACTCTTCCAGAAGCAAGGAGCACCTTGGTGACTGTGTTACTACCCAAGGTATTGTAACTCTTCCAGAAGCAAGGAGCACCTTGGTGACTGTGTTACTACCCAAGGTATTGTAACTCTTCCAGAAGCAAGGAGCACCTTGGTGACTGTTACTACCCAAGGTATTGTAACTCTTCCAGTAGCAAGGAGCACCTTGGTGACTGTGTTACTACCCAAGGTATTGTAACTCTTCCAGAAGCAAGGAGCACCTTGGTGACTGTTACTACCCAAGGTATTGTAACTCTTCCAGTAGCAAGGAGCACCTTGGTGTCTGTGTTACTACCCAAGGTATTGTAACTTCCAGTAGCAAGGAGCACCTTGGTGACTGTGTTACTACCCAAGGTATTGTAACTCTTCCAGAAGCTAGGAGCACCTTGGTGACTGTTACTACCCAAGGTATTGTAACTCTTCCAGTAGCAAGGAGCACCTTGGTGACTGTGTTACTATCCAAGGTATTGTAACTCTTCCAGTAGCAAGGAGCACCTTGGTGACTGTGTTACTACCCAAGGTATTGTAACTCTCCCAGTAGCAAGGAGCACCTTGGTGACTGTGTTACTACCCAAGGTATTGTAACTCTCCCAGTAGCAAGGAGCACCTTGGTGACTGTGTTACTACCCAAGGTATTGCAACTCTTCCAGTAGCAAGGAGCACCTTGGTGACTGTGTTACTACCCAAGGTATTGTAACTCTTCCAGTAGCAAGGAGCACCTTGGTGACTGTGTTACTACCCAAGGTATTGTAACTCTTCCAGTAGCAAGGAGCACCTTGGTGACTGTTACTACCCAAGGTATTGTAACTTCCAGTAGCAAAGAGCACCTTGGTGATTGTATTACTACCCAAGGTATTGTAACTCTTCCAGTAGCAAGGAGCACCTTTGTGATTGTATTACTACCCAAGGTATTGTAACTCTTCCAGTAGCAAGGAGCACCTTGGTGACTGTGTTACTACCCAAGGTATTGTAACTCTCCAGTAGCAAGGAGCACCTTGGTGACTGTGTTACTACCCAAGGTATTGTAACTCTCCCAGTAGCAAGGAGCACCTTGGTGACTGTGTTACTACCTAATACATTCTTAATCTCATTGTAGTGCTTAACTAGTTGGCTGTTTTTCTGATAATATGAAACGAATCAACCCTCAAGTTGGCGGCGATTCCTTATAAGAGCGGCGATTCCTTATAAGAGCGGCGATTCCTTTTAAGAGCGGCGATTCCTTTTAAGAGCGGCGTTCCTTTTAAGAGCGGCGTTCCTTTTAAGAGCGACGTTCCTTTTAAGAGCGGCGATTCCTTTTAAGAGCGGCGATTCCTTTTAAGAGCGGCGTTCCTTTTAAGAGCGGCGTTCCTTTTAAGAGCGGCGTTCCTTTTAAGAGCGGCGATTCCTTTTAATAGCGGCGATTCTTTTTAAGAGCGGCGTTCCTTTTAAGAGCGGCGTTCCTTTTAAGAGCGGCGTTCCTTTTAAGAGCGGCGTTCCTTTTAAGAGCGGCGTTCCTTTTAAGAGCGGCGATTCCTTTTAAGAGCGGCGATTCCTTTTAAGAGCGGCGTTCCTTTTAAGAGCGGCTTTCCTTTTAAGAGCCAAATAAGCTATATGCAAATATTGATCAACCAGATATTATTTTGTGACTGATGGCTACATATGTAATAAATCTAACATAGTATGCAATCTCTTGAGGACAAATTTTTTTCCCTCATAATTTCTAACTGATAAAGAGGCTATATTCATATTTTTTTCGGAAAATGGGAAACTGTAATGTACATGGCTGCAGACAGCAGTCACAATCAAATGATACGCTTATTTCACAGACACTCTTACGTGGTACCTGCTGACATGGGCTTCGGCGCCAAGGCAAGTGATGGCTCTTGGTCGGGCATGATTGGCATGGTACACAGGGAGGTGAGGCTTCCGAAATCTTAAGAAAACAACGTCGTAATATTATAATTTTTAATAAAGAACGCGAATCTTATTTTGCAAATAATTCTAACAGTTTGCTAATATCAATAGTTAACGGAAGTTATTTTGCATTATTATGTAAGATAAATAACACAATAATAATTTTTGAGAATTGTTTGACTCCTTGAAGGAGGCAGATATCTCCATAGGTCCCTTCAGTCAAACGGCCACTCGAACTGAGGCAGTAGACTTCGCGTGGCCGCTGTGGATGGATAGCTCAGGAATCGTGGCTGCTCTTGGACGCCCCGAGGTTGATCCCTGGGGCTTCGTACTGCCCCTGAGGCCGCTTGTGTGGGTAGCTATCCTAACGGCGATGTTGGTGATGCCTTCTGTAATATACCTGTATTCCTCATGCGTATCTACCACAATTTATGAAAGGAACAGCTGGATGTCACTTACCTATGGATTCATTCGCATTTTGTTGCAACAGGGTAAATATTGATTTTAAAAAATCATCAGCAACTGTGTTTTTTCGTACATATATTATACATACCTTATTTTTGTCTGTTATTACATGTTCGTTTCTAATTTTTGTCAAAAATTCTGATGAAACAAGAAAAAGTAGAGCTACGATTAAGTGCTTCGTTAACTTCATTTCAGACTTGGTGGAAATATAATGATACATATCCAGGCTAATGACAATACGAAAATTTCTCTTTTACCGTTAATATAAAAGTAAGGACGTTCGTCCAGAGTAAATAAAAAATGAACATATATTAAATAAGAATATTTTTATGTTTAGTTAAAACAAATATAATGAATTGAACAAATATAATGAATTGATTTTAAACTGTGCATGTAATTTAAAAATATTTAGACACGCATATTCATTGTAATATAGAACTCAAGCAACACAATGCTTAAAACTGAAAACAGTATTTGCTCCATACTCTTTAATTCTAGTCATTCACATTCTTATCGTCTCCTAAAAAGATTTCAGTGCACGTCCTGGCCTCTGGTGGAAGCGAATGTTGTTGGCTGTGTGGATGATGGTGACACTGGTGTTGACACGGAGCTACGCTGGTAACCTTATGGCTCTCCTGGCTGTGAGATACATCCCTCAGCCTTATCAGTCTCTCCAGGATGTGGTCGACGACCAGCAGTCTGTAATGATTTGGCAAAGCCAGTCAGTCAACACTGAGCAACTGCGTGTACGTAGCCTAAATATTTAGTATAAAAAATATTAGCAGGTTTCTCTCGGGATCGAAAGCAATAGTGAAAAAAATCTAGAAAAATATAACAGACCGGGCCGCGGGGGCGTTGACCCCCGGAACTCTCTCCAGGTAAACTCCAGGTGACACACTAAGGGTTCTGGTACTCTGGTGGAAGACTTCTACCGGCATACCTTAAATTTCGTTAAAAATCAATGAATCTCCTCTTTTTCCTAATATAGTCATATGAACTTAATTTCTAAAACACCATGTGAAAAAAAAATCCCATTATTATCTCTCAACGTTGGTAGAACCAACACATCTTTTTTTTTCAGGAAATTAAAGTTGGTATTCTGTATGAGGTCTCTAAGCTAGCAGATGAAGGACGGATACTGTACCGTAACTTAGAGGAATTTCCTAACCTCGCAGACACCGTAGTGAGGAAGGGCCATTATGTACTCTTTGGAATTGGCATTTTACTTAGGAACTTACAAGCCAGACTCTTCACTCGAACAGGTTACTGAACCCGACTAATTTGTCATAATAACTAATATTTAGTAGTTTCTTTCCTAGTAAGATTTCCTAAAAATTTACACGATAGTAAAGGTTTGTTTATTAAGAACCATACACTTAATTCTCTTAAAAACTATTGACAGTGTCTGCAATTTCAGTCAATAACTTTAAAATTAATCTCTATTTGAAGACTGTCAATTTTTCTTTCGTTTAATAAGAATTTTAATTTTAAATCGTATTACAAATTTTAACACATTAATGCAGCTATTTCTCCTCCAGTAGGCTTTGATTAATATTCAGGTGTAAATTACAGGTCGCTGTGATTTTTACTCGTCTAGCGAAAGAATTCTTCCATTCGCGGCTTCCATTGTCAGCCAAAAAGATAATCCCATAGTTCCCGCAATGCAGAACAGGTAATACTCACACTCACACTCACACTCACACTAACACACTCACACACACACACACACACACACACACACACACACACACACACACACACACACACACACACACACACACACACACACAATAAAAGCATAAAAAATCTAAGCCGTTTTGTTGTGTCAGTCATATCCTTAACAAATGCAGCGATGGAAAATAGCAAATGTATCCTGTGTAGTATATCAGGATTGCTCAACTTAGTATATACATCACCTTCAGAACGGAGGTGGACTTAGGACCTAACCATGTCACGTGAAGTTGGTATTATATTAGCTTTCCATGACAATTTTCGTTTACAAGTAAATTTTCTTCGAATTGTATCGTTCTCACTAATTAAATTGTGTTCGGTCTATCGATCCTTTGATAATTATAATTAGTACTAAAGCTCGATTAGTCTTCCACAGAATCTTGGCTCTGACAGAATCTGGGATATATGAGCGATGGTACAAGACGAACATCCCCAATTCAACTGTCTGTCTTCAGCCACCAAAGAAATATACCGTCCAGTCACCTCTGTCTTTAACGAATCTTTGGGTAAGATTTGTTGAGACTTAAGGGAATTAAGTGTCATTACATTTAATATAATTGTCTTCATGTGCAGTATATTTTTATTCCATTTTCAGGGGATGTTTCTGATACTGATTGGAGGAAGTGGTATTTGTGTACTGGTATTCGGCGCTGAGATACTAAGTGCTTGTGTTCCTCAGACTTGGGAGGGGTTCCCTATGTGCGGCACCACATCATCATAACGACTGCTGACCTCTGCTCAAAAGCGGAGAGCATATATAAACACAATACTGCTGGAAACAATAGTGATAATTTTCTAAACTATGCCAGAAGTCTTAAGTTCTGGAGACCTACATTACTAGGCCACTTGAACTTGTCTTAAAACTGACCCCTGTAGCACTGCACTCGTAAATTTCGTCCAGTCAGACACTTACTCCCCAACCATCAGTTTTCTTCTTTCATCGCTTACTTATTCGTTAATCCATTGCAGTACAATTCTTGCTCACAAACCAAACATCAGTCACCACAAACCAATGTAATTAACATGTCTTTTCTTCTCCTAAATGTATTCATAATTAACTTCTGTTTACTGATATTATTGTTGAATTGTGCTGGTGTCTGCTTACTAATTTTATTAACAATGTTGTGTTTGAAGGAGTTAACTCATTGTGTGTACTCACCAACACGTGCTTACCTATTTGCGTTTGAAAGGGTCGAGTATCAGCTCTTGACAAAGGAACTGATACTCGTGGTTCCTATTATACCTTTTATACCTATTCTTCACGCTTCACATCTTTGTTTTTTTCCATTTCCTGAGAGTAAATAATTCTTATTTTCTCTGACTCGTCTGAATTATAACTTAAAATTCTTGAATGATTTATATCCACCTTATTATGTCTTCTACGCATTATATATATTTTTTGTGACTGCGTACATGTGCTGCATATGTGTATATGTGTCTGTGTGTGTATCTGTGTGCCTATGTGTGTACACACCTAGTTGTGTTTGCGAGGGTCGAGAATCAGCTCCTGGCTCGTGTGTGTGTGTGTGTGTGTGTGTGTGTGTGTGTGTGTGTGTGTGAGAGAGAGAGAGAGAGAGAGAGAGAGAGAGAGAGAGAGAGAGAGAGAGAGAGAGAGAGAGAGAGAGAGAGAGAGAGTGAGAGAGAGAGGTGTGCATGTCTGCCAGAACGTGAGTCTTGTCCTGTGAGTGTTACATCCATCTTTAATAACATCTACAAACTTAAACAACTGGAGGATGTCATGTCAAACTGCCCACTCGCACTTCTTTATCCTCGATACAACAGATCAATGGGTCATTGATTGTTGCTCAAGCGCCTCTCACCATCCATATAAAAATTGGAGCCGAGACTTCGTTTGGCTCATTCCTCACGTGGTCTTCACGCTCTTCATACCTGTGTCCCCTGACACTAGCAGCTCCCTCCACACTATTAACGTGAGTCACACACGCTGTATTGTCTAAAAAATTCACAGAAGTTTAGCTTTCGTTGAATTTGGCTCTGATTCAAGTCTACGGTTATACTAAACAGTGTTTATGATTTAAGATAAAAACACATATGCACAGCTCAAGGCATATTGAGAAATCGTTTAGTTGAGTAATTCCTTAACTGTTTCTTGCAATAACCCATAAATAGTGGTCGTACATAACTAGTGAATACCCCATACCTTGTTCGTAAATAAAAATAAAATCCAGTATTAGTTAAAACAGTTTTTTCTCTATGTAAACACTATGGTTTTCGAGATGGGATCCTTCTAAACGTTGATTATAATAACCACTTCAATATGCTCAACTCAGTGTAGTGATCAAAATCTGCCCGATTTTTCCAAGATTTTCCTGAACACCCTTCAGTGGAGCCTCGATGCTTGCAAAGGGAACTTAACCTAAGAAATTAAAACTAACTACCACTTTGGAACAAACCCAGTGATCTCCCTTTACACAAGCACTGTATGACCCTTAAAGGTTTAGCGCTTCCCTATAAATACAGCACTGTCATTACTGTCAAAACTCACACCTAGAATTCAGTATGTTATCGGCTCGGTAGTTATCTTTATTTCGATATACAGTATTTCATTAAGTTATTCCCGTTTTCATCATTCTAAGTTACCCATGTTATTGAATTTGTCAGCTCTTATTCTGGAAGTTTTATTGAAGGTAAAACTAGTATGGTGATCCTAACAAGTTTTAGGTAAGAGAAACTAATGCAGTGATAAACATGTTAAATAAACGTTTTGCCACAAGCGGAGAAATTAATTTTTAGCATAAGTATTAAACTTGAATAATTGGTATTACATTTTTGTTAATATTTATTCTTATTATTTTGGAATATACATTATACATCATAGGCGAAAAACTTCAAAACTTTCACACTGAGTTACATAACCATAGACAAACTGCCTAATTGTAAACAGTCTATAACGTAATAATGTTGGTAGACTTACCGACAATATAGATCGACACCATGCCTAACCCTTCTAGGGTAGGGTAGGTGCCTGAGCCCGAGCCTTTAGCTCATAAGACTGTCATTCCCATTTGCCCCCTTGGGGCGGGGATGGCAGACCAGAGAGGCCTAGCTTGTGGCTAGGACTGGGGACAGTTGGTCCCAAAGATGAGGAGGTACTTGTGCCTCCTCCCATGGGAGACTTAGGTCTCAGACACTCCCTAAAGAGGGAGCCAAGGCCGGGCCACCACTTGGACAAGGCCCGGGCCGGGAGAATACCGGCTAATCTTTAACTAATTAACTAACCGACAATATGTAAAGTAAAAGGACACAAGTGCAACTAATGTGACATTTTATTGTGGCAACGTTTCGCTCTCCAGGAGCTTTGTCAAGCCGATCAAAGCTCCTGGAGAGCGAAACGTTGCCACAATAAAATGTCACATTAGTTGCACTTGTGTCCTTTTACTTTACAGTCTATAACGTGTAAAAAAAAAAATTAACTGCACGACATGTATACACCGAGAGGTGTGTACATGTCGTGCATGTATACATCGTGCATGTATACACCGAGAGGTGTATACATGCCTGATGGTGGAAAAATTAATGTGCAGCTTTAGTGATCTAGTGTAGTCGATAGGCTTCAAATCCCATTAACCTTCTTAAGTGTAAATTAGGTTTATGGAAAGCCTCGTCACCACTACGATGATAGGCAAGGATTCTGATACATGGGAAGGATCTCAATATATATTGTGGATAGACATATAATTCGGGTTGGGGGGTATGATATGAATGAACTGTACAATATGAAGGCGGGAATAAACTAGGGTATAGATAACATGCTGAATGTATCTAACACAGGACTCGCAGCAGTGGTTTCAAATACGGCAAATTTAGATTTAGAAAGGATGTAAGGAAAATACTGACTTGGCAGTCGACTTGTAGAAGGGTGGAAAAAATTTAAGTAGCGAGAACATTGGGCAGCTCTAAATATGAGCTGGGCGGGTAGATGAGTGTCAGACGTGCCTGTCGTGTCAATATAGGCTGGGCGGGTAGAAGTACCAAGCGTGCCTATCATGGGTCATAGGCTGGGCGGGTAGATGAGTGTCAGACCTCCCGATCGTGGGTCAATAGGCCTACTGCAGAGCTCCTTAAAACCGAAGTTGTATTATAATTAATTTATTAACCCCCATTCCCAGACGCTGCATTATCACTAGCTGTTTACGGCTTCCAATAATAACTGCATTTCAAAACAGATTTTACTAAGAAAAGATATTAATGACTGAGAAATTCCTTTTTATTTTCACCCTCATTTCATTTGAATCGCATAAAAAAAGAAACGCTTAACAGTACACAAGTGCTGCATTTAGCTGAGAATTATTGATGTTTGATAAGACACATGAGTAAATGCTAGGAAATATTTATTAGAAAGAGACCTGATCACTTCTAACAACATTGAAGGATCAGGAATAACAGCATTGACATTGGTCGGTATCAATTCCCAATTTTTACCATTCTTAATTCGCCGATACTCTCCCGGTTCGGGTCTTGTCCAGATAGAGCCCCGGCCTTGGCTCCCTGTCTTGGGAGTTTCTGAGACCTATGTCTGCCGTGGGAGGAGGTACAAATACCTCTTCATCTTCTAGACCAACTGTCCCCAGGCCTAGCCCCATTCCCTGCCCTCACGGGGCTCATAGGGAGAAGCTAGGCTTCTGGTCTGCCTTCTTCCCCGCCCCAGGGAAGCTCATGAGGCTGGCAATCTTGTGAGCTGCAGATGAAAGCGAGCTCTGGCTCTGGCACCTTCCCTGCCCTAGGAGGGATCGTGGGAATGTTTTTACCGTTATAGATGTTATAAATTCTTAAAAAATGTTAGATAACAGTTATGAGAAGGAAAGAACTTGCATAACTAAAACTTTTAAAAGGGGTGTAACGGTAAGCCAACGGAAGGCTTCGGTCAGATGACCAAAAGTTCCAGCTGCGGGTCGTCATATGACTAAGACCCGCGTCAAGAAACGCTTGTCTTGTTTCCTGACAAACCAACCAAACTTTACATAAAAAAACCGGACAATCACACAAATAAACAAACACAAACATTGACCAAGAAATGACAACTATATTTTGCCAATTTTTACTGTCAGTATACTTAATTACAGTTGGGTAATGAGGGTTTAAAGCTTATCGACTAACCAGGATCATAAATTAACGCTGCATCTAACCAGACAAGAATAACTTTCACTACAACAGAAGTAAAAATAACTTCTCATATACGCAGAGACATACACAGCTCAGAGTAATTATTATTATTATTATTTATTATTATTATTATTATTATTTATATTATTATTATTATTATTATTATTATTATTATTATTATTATAGTACATGCAATTGTAGCATACATTATTGTAGTATATGTAATTAAAATCATTGATTTTTGTGATTAGAAAAATATTCGTATTGAAAATCTGATATTTAGAATGTTTTGGTAGTGATTAATTTATGAATTGATTCGTTCCTTGTAATACTGCACGAAATTAAATTATTAATTTTTAAATCTCATTCCTTTAACAATTCACTATATTTAACTATATTTAACGCGAGACTAAACAAATATCATTGATCTCCACACAGACTATGGAGCGGTTGTGCAAGTTCCGACCCACAACATTGTCTGAGCGAGCAAGATTCGTCTGGATGTCGCAGTGTGGTCTGTCTGCCAGACTCATCGCCCAAGAGAGTGGCACCAGCGTCACCACCGTCTGCAGGTGGATACGACGCTGGAAACGAGAA